CTACATTCTATCTACTTAAAGGGGACTATACCCATACCAGCGGTACCGGAGGAAGCTGCTCACAGCCCCAGACTACCTCAGCTCCCAGTTCCCAGATGCATCAATTGCTCGTGAGAAGAAACACAAACAGATGAAATGAGAAGAGGCTGTAATCTTAGTCTATATTGGGTATCATAATATCCCCAAACAAAAAAATAAACCCTAAACCCCGAATACGGTTTTCGACAATGCCAGCCATCCCCCACTAATCAGCGGCATGGGTCTGAGCTAAATATGAACAACTCGCGACTGCTTTGTGCGCGCGGGCTCGTAACTAAACTCAAAGTCAGCTAGGATCGATCAGTAATCTTTACGTTGGGTGTTGCCTCCGGCCTGTAGCAGTCTATATTAGGGTTCATTATAAGGGCTGTATTGTCTTTTGTAGATACTATCCAACTGTTACAGAGCATTCTTTATTGCACCAGCATGTCAGGTGATGTCCTCTGCTGAATTTGGGAGTTCCAAGATATCTTACTCGGCTTCGTTTTGAAATATTACTTGGGGTTACAATTTTCTGGACTTCCCTTATTAAAAAGCGCACTCAATACCCCAAACCCTAACCCTGGGACCTAAGCTCTAAACCCTAAACCCTCAAGCTCCAGGTGGTTCCGGCCTCAGCCGTGTGCACCCGCAGCGCGGGCTGTGCCCGGCAATCACCCCGACCCCGCTTGATCCTTTGCCTCAAATGCTTAGGCTTTAAGGATCCGTGGCTTAGGAAGACTGCGTGACTGCGAGGGGTTTTGAAGGAATCGTGAAGACTAAATCACAGCGTTGATGTGGGAAAGAAAGACACAAAAAAATTGAAGAACTCCTCAGCAATGACCTTCCTTTGCCGTACCCGGTCCACTCCTATACCCTATCCAGCCATACCCTACCCCAAGAACAGCCAAAGTTGCTGCGAGGCCTTGTAGTCTCGCCACATCTCAGAGTCTTCCACCCGGATGACTTTCAGAACCCGCAGCCCCACCGTGCGGGATGCTTGCCCCCTTTCCTTCCAAGGGACTCCTAAACCCTAAGCCCTAAAACCAAGGCCCTTAAACCCTAAACCCTAAACCCCAAAACCTAAGTAACGAGGGAGAGTCTTCTGTAGCGCTTATGAGGTCTGACAGTCTGACATCAAAAGCTTGACGGTACCTAGGATTTAGGATTTAGGGTTTAGGCTGGGGGACCCTAATACAAACAGACCCTGGTGGACTATACTCCTTATCAGGGCACCCCAACACGGTTCCCCTAAGTTTAGGACACCCAAAATGCTTTTCCGGGCGAAATCGTGATCCCACACAAGAATCCCAAAGTCTCAGCGACCAGAAGGAGATACATGGGAGATGGATCCCTCCATCATCCCCACATATAGTGTTTAGAGTTTCAGAGGACTCCTCAGCCCACCCCAATTTTGAGAGAACTTCCAGATATTCCACTGTAGAAAACAGAAAATTGATCCTCCCTGATAATACTTATCAACCCTATACAACTGTAGCACTATATATATACCCCAAAACCCTGTTGCAGTTATTCAGCCTCTTGAAATCCAACTCTATACCAATTCTTATCCAATCCAAACGCAGACTGCATGTCATGTTCCATTTGCTTCATCACTCTTTCCATCACATTCTCCAAGTCCCTAAACCCTGAACACTAAACCGTAAACCCTAGACCGTAGACCCTAAACCGTACACCCTAACCCAACACCCTAAACCGCACACTAGACTCCAAGTTTCAGGAGTGTTCAGCCAGGTCTTATTGACCAGGTCATCAAGGACCTTCTTCATCTGGTGGTCAGGATGCGTCTCCTGGTTTGCAGTCAAGAAACTTAGTCTAAGTTACTGAAGTGGGGAAACCTTATCAAATTCAAGTTCCTTAACAGCAACCCAGTCTCATGAAACACGCCGTTCAGGTGATCCTCATTCCTAGGTCATCATTTAAGGCTTAGGGTTTAGGCTTTTAAGGCTTTGGGTTAAGGGTTTGGGGCGTGGGCTATTCTTCCAGAAGTCAGGGGCTGACAGGTTGTGTTCAAGGATGATAAACAAAAGAACTGGCGGTCCATGCCGCGCATTCTTTGGGGCGAGTGTACCTATTCGAGACTTTAGGGGCCTGAAGCTTTACCACAGGGTGGCATGCTTAAAGCCCACAGCAAAACCAGTTACCTTGCTAACTTTAGGAACAACTTAAATCCAGACGCCTTCCCAAAAAAAGCCCCAGAAACTCTAAACCCTAAACCCCGAAACCCCAAAACCCTAAACCCTAAAACCCTAAAGCCAGAACTAAATTCTTCCCAAAAAAGCCTCAGGGGCCTAGATGCAGCATGGAACCAGTAGGCTGGCAAAGAGCCCCGCTCTGATGCGGTGTCCTGGGATAGATTTAGGGTGTCGGGTTTTTGGATTCTTGGTTAAGGATTTAGGGTTTGGGGTTTTGGGTTTTTGGTCTAGGGCTCTATGAGCATTGAGATTTATTACTTTGTCAGGAGTATATAGTGATTATGGTCGATGACAGTTAACAGTTATTCCTCCGAATATTCCAGGTGTCCTCGTCCGCCCAATAGCGGTGCACTGGACTCGGGCACAGCATAAAGTCAGGACTCTGCCGCTCGTAAACCAGCGCATACTCTGGGTAGACCTGCAGAGCTGTCAATTACCCTAAAACCTAAACCCCAAAATGGGATTAGGGTTTAGAGTATCATTGGTACCATTCCAGTAGAAACATCGTTATTACTAGTCTTATTGTGGAGACTGTCAGAGTCCGAAGCTGAAACTTTGGCGCCGCTTAGGCCATATGGAAGTCTATCCTTACTGGCTGCGGCACTGCTAACCATAACAATAATCATAAACACAAAAGTTCAATAGTGAATAATAAAAACAACAGTACAATAAGGAAGCATACCAATATATATATATATGCTATAGTCTAAACTCCTAGTATCCCCCTTAATAAGCCCTATAGTAGCCCCCAATATAATCCCCTATAAAACCCCCTTTAAGGAGTTTAGACTATAGCTCATATATACCAGTAAACCAATAAGAAACAACTAGATAATGGCCATAATGGCCATAGGAAAACATGTCGAGCTTGGACCTGGTGCCCGTCGAAAACCACGAACTCCCGGTGAAGAGTCTCGTGTGGCTCTGCAAGCACCGAATCAAAGCGGTTTCTTCTGAAGGCCTCTTCCTGGGTTGCTGTTAAGGAACTGAGTCTAAGCTACTATATTGGGGAAACCCTATCAGTTACTATATACACCCGTTGTGGTAACTTAGACCCTAAACCCTAAATCCTAAACCCTAAACCCTAAATAGTAAAACCCTAAACCCTAAATACCCTATATACCCATTCTGGTAACTTAATTTAAGTTCCTCAACAGCAACCCAGCTTCCGCGGCACCCTCGTTCCGGAAGCACTTCGTGTGGAACTGGCGGCCCAGGAGCACTCGGCACAGCAACAGAGCATAGCAGGCATGGTAGAGGCCATCCCCCTCCCCGGCATATCCTGGGTTGCTGTTACGGAACTTAAATTAAGTTACCATAATGGGTATATAGGGTATTTAGGGTTTAGGGTTTTACCATTTAGGGTTTAGGGTTTAGGATTTAGGGTTTAGGGTTTAGGATTTAGGGTTTAGGGTCTAAGTTACCACAATGGGTGTATATAGTAACTGATCGGGTTTCCCCAATATAGTAATTCAGATTAAGTTCCTTAACAGCAACCCAGTATCTGTCCGCAACCGCCGGGTCCTCAGAAAAGTAGCCTCCGAAGCCATAGCGCTTGCCTGCTCGGCTGGCCTTCACCTGAAAGCCGTTCTCCACGATCTGACAGGGCCCAAACTCCCACATGCACTGCAGGTGGATCTTACATGCTGAATGTCCAGAACTATGGGCCAATCTGATGCAAACTTTCCCGGGATCTACTTCTGAAACCTGATTTTGGCAAAGTGCAACCTTCAGGGCAGAATGGGGGTCTGTGCCATGAAACAGATAAGCCTCGCATACCTCTTCATCCAACGCATGCACGAAGCCACCATCCCAGCCATCGGACTCAACATTTGCCAAGGCATGATTCGTAGATGGCGCCCCTAAACCTTGAAACTTTAAAGGTCCTCGTTTTACTGCCACATCAGCTGCCTTCTCCTGGTAATGAAACCACAGTCGGGAATGCTCCACCCGAACTGCTCTCACTAAATTGAAATGTACCTCTGTGTTTGAGCTGGTCTCGTTCAGGAAGCCCTGCAAGATTTCGCGATTCCGAACAGGAACTGGATAGATGTCATCAAAATACTCTGGGCTGGACCGGTCCAGAGCTTCAGCCAATGATTTGCCAGCATTTTGCCAATAAGGCGGAATAACATCTGGTGCCTTCTCCAACCGTCTGCAACTACAGAACCGACGGACTTGCTGATACTGGCGAAGGAACAACGCGCAAACAGTTGCCAGCACACCTATCCCAAGCAGCAGTTGCAAGGGAGAGGGGTTGACCTCATCCATTCAGCTGAATGTACGGTCACAGCCCAATCCATCGCCTACGCCACCAAAACCCTTCCTACTTGCGGCATCTTTTCATTCCTCTACCTTGGGCATATAAAACCTACAGTCTTTCGTGAGCATCCGGAATAAAGTCGACCCAACATGGATTCTCCTGGGCCGTCCTGTAGTAATTGGACTCCACTTATGCATCAAAGCCTCAACAAGGCAAACACAAAAAACACGAGCAGCCACACATGTAGTTATTGCCCCAGCCGCAGCCCTTCCCTTGACCTTGAGCACGTACACGTTGAAAGAAACAGCTTCCATCAAGGCCCATGAGGCCAGCAGTGAAGTGTACATAAGACCCAAGCAGCCGGGTTTTAGGGTTTAGGGCTTAGGGATTAGGGTTAAGGGGTTTAGGGTTTAGGGTTTAGGGCTTAGGGTTAAGGGGTTTAGGGTTTAGGGCTTAGGGAACCTACAGAAGTTTGAAGATGTATGAGATCCCTTGATGCCAGCGGGGATCCCAGTTCGCCCAGAGTCTTTACGAACACAAACTGCAAGCCATAGGCCACCCAGCCCTAAGCGGCAAGATCAAAATCATAGTCTTGATTTGAGCTACTGTCTAAACTC